TGAAGAGAGAGACAGAGGTATGACTAATTCATCCCCAGATGTCAACTAAATAGCCTAGGAGCAAGTGGTGTAAATTTTATCTCCAGCCCAGCCATCCTAATATTCAGAATGACCTGAAACAGGTACACAAGAGGCTCTGACTGATCTCCTTCCTCATTCCTTGCGGAAGAGCCAAGATGGCCAGCTCCAACTACTCTCTTTAGAAAAGGGAACAGTTCTGTAGACAACCCACTCTCACTCTAACTAGGACAAGTGGAGTCTACAAGGATGTTACCCCAAAGGTGTGGATGAACTACAAGAAAAATGTTGGAAATTTGCAGGATACCAAATGGAAGAAGCAAAGAAAGAGCAGGAGTCTAAAGACAGAAGGGACAAATCTACTGAATAGCACAGAGACAATCAGAAGAAAATAAATCCTAAGCATGTTGGAGAATGGTACGATTGGGCAAAAAGGACTGGAAAATAAATATTCATAGAAGTGCAGGCATAAATTGAACGAGAAATGCATTCAGAGAAATAGGTTAAAAAAGATGCACATATACAGTTATATAGAAAATCTGCATCCAAACATATTCAGCTGTATTATGCTACTGCATATAAAAAACCTAAGAGTTTATCTGCATAGCCATATACTAACAATGCACAGCAATTCCTCCAAAATAATGTAATAACTTGCGTTTGTTAAGCAGATTTAAAGTAAAATAAAACTTGTTCCAGCACGTGAGCGCGTAAGTCAACATGCTGCCTAAAAAAAAGCATTAGTGTAACATTCCTTCTAGCATTGCCAATGGCAAAACAGCGTACAAAGGACATTTTCAATAGTTAGGTTTAGCATGATTTTAATAATATTTATCCTAAAATACCCTGTGATACTTCCCCTCCCCAATCCCAGTCTTCCTTTTTCTTCCTACATATGAGTGTATAATAAAAAGGTTTGAGAAGACCACTGGCACTAATCCACACATTTCTGAATAGAAAGCTTACAATACGTTTACCCAGTTTTGTGAGGTGTTTTATATGTCAGTTTTGACATGCTCTTTCAGTCCCTGTCCACAATTACCATTCTTTTTCTTCATGTGCACGGAACTAACAAATCTGGAATATTTTTATAAGTTTTCCACTAATTATTTCATTGTGCAACTCTTAGTGCAATTCTTTTCCAGCACTCCTTTCCAGAACTGGATTTGATTCCATGAAAGTAGTCTTTTACACCTGACAGAAAGGATGCCATTCTGAAAAAAAAATACAAGCAGTACATACAAAAAGTCTTCTTCCAAGAAGTAGATCTGACACATTCAGGATGCTTCCTTGCCTCTTCTCTCACTATAGCCTAAAAATGAATCTTCCTTTAATGTACCAGTTCCACACTAAATACTTCAGATAAATGAAACATAAACATACTTTAAAACCACATATGAAGGGTCACAACATGCACAAGTTTTACCCCGTGGAGTGGTCTGAGTAATGTGTGCCCCCCAGCAATGCAAGCAATCTAATGCAGCAACCCACAGTGAGCTGTCTAGACCAGGGCACACGCAAAAGCGACACATTCCAAATTTAAAGTACTGCTGTAAAATCATCTGGTATTAACAGAATTCAAAAATGAGAACACAGCCTGGTGCTCTTAATCTGTAACAGCCATAGGGGTCATTGAAGTCATTTCACAGGAAGATGAGCCCTAAATTATTTTGGAATATCTGGAAAAAAAATCAAACACTC